GAAAAAGCACCTTTAGGTCCTCCTGTCAGCTTTGGAAGCCATATTAGCACCAGACACTTCCACACTGCCACATTCTTGAGCCTGGGATAATGGGAGGGGGGAATTTTTTGGAGCATATATGGTTAGACATAATAGCATTCTTCTTCTAAGTCAAGGCCATGTTATTTCTGCACCTGGCTTAGGAGTGGTTGAGGGGACGTCTCAAGTTGGGACGGATGGTGATTGGGGCATGTGATGCAATGAGGGTGCAAGGGGTGGATTTGTAATTTTTTACTTATTGAAGAGAAACCTGGAACTTTCAGGTTTGGGATTTCCCAGATGTGCCAGTTTACTACTCTAATAAAAAGAACCTTTGAGAAGATGTCTGTCTCGGAGTTATTGGTTGGAGTTGAGGTTTTCTGGAACGCTGACATCTGATACATAAAACCATAGAACTCAAAAGAGGGTGTTCTTTCTTTTTCACATGATTATATTTTATGGAATCTTGTTTCTTGAATATGTGTGTGTGTCAGTATAAATATATATTTTTATAGTTGGAAATGAGAAATAGCATTTGTCATTAATGTCTAAAAACCCAGTATGTATGTGTGTGTGTGTCAATATAAAAATACAATATTTTTATAGTTAAAAATGAGAAATAGCATTTGTAATTAATGTTCAAAAACCAGTACCAAGTGAAAATTGTTACTATTTTATAGAATTTAACAGCATTACACAAGGCAACTAATGACACTGAATGAGCCTTGCTATAGTACTTTTTGTACATTACTTGTAATCATTAAAACAGCAATAAAAAGTAGATAATAGTAAAATTCAGGCATATATTGCTGTGGTATTCTGATCAGCTGCTGTAGAAAATATGTGTTTTGGGGTGTGTATTTGAGTGAGAGTGTGTCTAACTTGATTGCCTTTGTGGAGGAAGGGAAAGAATTCTTTAGCAGCCAATACACTTGTAGGTTTTCCTTTTGTTTTGTTTTATTTTTACAGGTGACAGTGTGTTTGTTTCTTTAAAAATGATCCTTGATTCAAGTTGCAAATAAACCCTCTGCAAATAAACAGCCACAGAAATTCAGCTTATTGCCAATGACATGTACAAGACACATTGAAATATTTTTAATTAGCTAAATGAGAATTACTGTATATATTTATTTTGGAAAAAGTCCTGCAGCATGCATATATATATATATTGCATTCATTCACTTTGTGTTGCATTAATAGTAAGTTTCTCTGACCTCCTGAAAAATAAAATAAAAAACAGTTTAGCAGAGCATTTAAAATGTACCAACCAATATGAATAATAAAAAATACTTCTATCAGTTTGAAGTAGAATATACTTTGTATTTCCTAATGTATTGGCTGTTTTTAATCAAAAGGTACTTCAGCTCATGCTGTTTTTCCCACTTGCTTTGACACAATGGCCCTTCTCCATACAATAGTCATTAGAGCAATAGACATATTATTAATAACACTGCATTGATCAGATTGCACAATCCTGATTATGTCAAATTGATGGAAACAAAATGGGCATATATTTTTATTGTTTTCCCATTTTTAATGATGAGCTCCCCAAATCTGGAGTTGAGCCGCTAATAAATAAATAAAAATACTGGATACAGTGTAGATAAGGCAATTATCCTTCTCTTCATTTCTCCTGTTCTTACTTTCTTTCAGATGCATAACAGGTATTTAATATTTACTTTCTATCACTATCTGAAGAATCCTTTCTAACTGTGCGATTTTACATCTTTTAGCATGTATAGATATCTTGATAAACCATGCAATAGTCCAAAATGCCATTTCCAAAACCCATTTCTGAATATTTTGCCTCACAAGAATATATTATCTTGATTCTCCATATTTTGATTGTGCTAAATATCAAGATTATGCTTTCAGGGCTCATATTCCATTGCCTGTGCAATGCATTCAAATACTGTATATCAGAGCGACAGTGTACCCTTAATTAACATCACCAGTGATATAATTGGTAAACTGTCTTACTCTCAAAATAAGCACCAGAATGAGAAGGGTTTTTATTTTAGTTCCCCGGCATTTTAGGTGCTTGCTTACTCAGATTCAGACATTATCACAAAAATTAATTATATACAGTACTGTGCAAAAGTCTTAGGTCATATTTAGATTTGTTGTTGTAACAATGGTATAATCACCATATATAATTATGTCTCAGTCTCCTTATTAGAATAAAACCAGAACATACAGGAAATTTGTGTGCAGAATCCAAAACAGGAAAAAACAGAAAAAAATGTTTCCATAGGCCAAAGTGACAAGTATATAGTGTGACCTCCCTTTACAATTGAGCAAAGCAGGCACTTGGCCCCTATAAACCTAAATAGAATGAAATCCTAACTACTGCCATTGCTAACACCTGTAGGTGTCCTACTATGTCATGCCAAAATGACTGCTGTGCAGAAAGGTCTATTACATCAGGTTTGTGCAACATACTTTTATGCTTCAGGATTACATACACCATGTTGTATGAGTGTAATTCATTGGAAGTTTACAAATAAGGCCAACTTTCTATCACATCATTCCAGTTAAAATGTCAAGGATCACAGAATTTGATAGAGATAAAATCATACTTTTGCATCAGCAAGGCTACTCTCAAAGGGAAACCAACAAGCAAACTGGATATTCAAGATATGGTATTCAAGGCTAAACAATAATTATGATCATTAAAAACTTGCTAAAACAACGAAGTGGGTGATGGCCTAATACTTTTGCACAGTACTATATATAAAATATATGTTACATGACTGTATAATATTTCAGCATGACATCTATTATTATCATTGGGCAAATCATTTTACAATATCTTAGGTTTACTCACAAATTCACTACTTTTTCATTCATAATAAGTAGCAGAAATTATGCCCAGAAATACAGGAGGCAGGGACTCAGACATCAGTATTTCAAAGGCAAATTAAGTCACAGGATAAGCTGGAGATGTTTTATATTAGCAGCCAGTGAATAACCAGAGATGGGAAGGTGGCTAACGGCTAGAGGCATTAAAAATTTATGATAAGGGTTGTCCTGGGCTCCAAATGTTTGTATTTGTGGATGGTTTTTGTTAGTTTTCTCCTTGCCCAAAGTTATCTTTTGTGGTTGAGATAAGCTACAATTATTCCACAAGCTAGAATCCTTGCATATTATCTTATACAATGGTCTGGTGTGCTTTATTAGCAGCAGCCACATTTAGCAATACCATTTTTGGCATGGACCTGAGGAGTGAAAAGCTAAAAAGTATTCATCCCCTTTTGCATTGTTAAAATTTTTGCATACGTTTGCTATTAATTGCTTCCAAATAATTATTTCTGAGAGAAAACATAACACCAAAATTAAAATATTTACAGCAGATAACATCCATTGGCAAAGATATGCAAAATTCATAAAAATCTAACAATGGATGAATATTTTTTCATAGAACTGCATATTGCTAGCAATGTGAGTGAGGGCTGGTGAACTAAAGGCACAGGTATAATTTTGATTATTCTATGTGTGCTTATGTGGAGCTGAATGTTAAAATGTTCCCCTAATGTCCTAGTATGAGCACTGTGTATATATACTTAGGCAGGTTACCCCAGGATAATCCCTGATCAATCAACAATGCTGAAATTTCTGTGAAAACTATGGTAAGTCTTCTCTTTTATTTTTCACCACAAAGTGATAACAAAATAATTTGATAATTTCCCAGGCTGAATACATAAGGCAGTATGGAAACAAGTAGTTCCTCAAGATCTAGAGAACTACAGTTCCCAGCATCCCTGATCATGGACATACAGACAGTAGCTATTAAAAAGTGTAGATCAACAACATCTGGGTGGCAAGGGTTTTCTCCCCAATACAACTTATACTAAAATAACAACAACGTATGCACTCCCCAAACATTTAATTTAACAAACTGATTATAGCTCTGCTTTGCAGATCTATAAATACACTATATAATTCCATACAAAATGAATAGTTTGGTGACTATTGCATTTCAAAATACTTTTATTAGAGGATCTACACATGTTCTGCAGAGTTATCCATGGCACTTTTTAAATGAAAAGTTAATTGAAAAGCAAATGTCTTACGCCAGACATTCTATATCTTCCCAAGATGCATGCTGTTACATGGAAAAACTTGGCTTTTTTCATTCATTTTGCATATTTCCTGAATTTCCCGTGCTCTAAATATTACATTGAAAAATAAAATTAGTTGATACAAAACTTTTATTAGAAGCTCACTAAAATGATCTTATTTCTTTATTAATCCAATTCTATAAAAATAATTCTGGGCAGTGCACACCAATCTTCTTCCCAAACACCCCAGTGTTATACATTGCAATAAAATTTCCAAACATTTTTAGCATTCCTTATGCAGCATGAAATCATGCTTTTTATGTATTCATAAATGACAGACCAAAGAATGCAAGTGTTACTCATAACTCCATTCAAACAATAACTGACCAAAGGAATTCCAAGTAGGTCTGGGAACATGGGAGTGAAAGAGCAAGATTTTCAGGTATTTTCAGGATTCTGCTACCTCAAAAGTAATCTGGGCATCAGTGTTGTTTTATTAAAAACCCAAAAAAGAATTGGGAGAATTTTCTTTTGTCAGTTTCAGGTATGCAACCAAGGAAGCCAATGCAAGCCCCTCTCAAGGGAATAAAGGGCTCTGACACCCACAGGATCATTCATATACCATTCTGACCTATCACTACTGCAACCTGCCTAGCAGCCCACCATCAGTGTAAATATCCCCAACAGTAAATTTATGTCACAACATTTTCATCAACCACATCTGGGTCATTTGAAATGGATATCACATGCCTTCCCATTCTATTCTATCCTCCCAATCATCCAAAGGGATTGTGGTTTACCCTGGACTTTTAATTTTTAGCTGAGTTGTTATATACAAAGACAAGAAAGTTTAAATCAATTTTAATAGACTAAGCACATTATTATATGGCTAGAAGTTCACAGCAGAGAAATTTAACTTACTTCTCGTTTTTCACGATTCTGATCCGGATTTTGTAAAGATGGTATTTTGGATATTTCAGCTTTCTTTGACTCCCTTTTCAGCACCCTTACCTGTTTGACTTTACAAGAAAAAATAACTATTTCTAGAATTGCACTTTTTAAAAATCTTTCCTTTTTTTTGCAAAAAAAAATGATACTGACTATGGGTTTTGCTGTTTAGATTAGTTAGTTGTTTTAGAAATGGCTACTAATTAAGTATATAAGAGTAAAAAGTTGTGGCTGTAATAGCATGATCTTATTCTAATGTGCTAAAAAGAGTTGGAAGTCAATATTTTTTCTTTTTTCCCCCTTTACACTACACCTCTTCCTCTTCCCTTTTTCCTTCTCATTTTCCCAATATTTCACTTTCTTTTGTATTTTACATCTTCATAAAATTAATAAAATTATCAATATAGAATTGCACATTTTCTGTTCTGAAGCAAATATTAGAAAATCTACAACTCAATAGCTAACAAAACCATTGAAAATTGCAAAAGGAAAAGTGATCTGTTTACTGCTTTCGTATTTTAGTTCAGCTTTCAGTACATATATATCTGAGGACCTCAGCCTATATGATGAAAAATAAATGAAAGTGATCATTCGCAGGAGCATAATACCTGTCAGAAAAGCAACATTAATCACTGCATCTGGTCCAAATTTGAAGCTCCTCAGGCTGCTTAGCGTTAAAAATAAATGGCCCAAGAAATTTTTTTTAAAAAAAAGCAACTGAAAACAAAAATCATATAGAGTGTAGAATTTCATGTCCACTATTTATTAATGAAATAATTAGTGAAAGGGAATGTCAGTAGAGACCAGTCACGCCACTAATCTCTTCAGAATAGGTCTGAAGTTGAATGCAGCAACAGATATTACATCCTTATGTAATGAACATGTGTGTCATTACATACTGTATATACACACACACATATTGTATTCTATTTATTTGGATGCTTGTTTGCTTATCTACTGCTTATAGACATGTACTGCCTCAGTGAACATAGAAGTATGATTTGACTTCTATTTCCAGGTTCAGTTTTAAATTTCTCTAGAGGGACAGTGACGTGGCTAGAGAAATGTCAGTGTGCATTTGCTATCTGCATTATCCAAAAGGTATATCACTAATAAAAAAGTAATTCTTCTCTTCCCCTACCTCATGTATTGCAAGGCTTTTTAGAAAATGAGCGGGTTCCAAAGCAGTTTCTCAGTTGGTTATTGAATTTCTCCAGTTCAAAGAAAATAAAACAATATACATTCTTGACCATCTTGTGGCCAAATTATTCAGAACTTTACCTTTTAATATTTTATTTATACTTAAAATATTCTAATGGAACTAATTTTTTTAACTGGAGAAAGCAGCACTACATAGAGGAACTGTTTAATCTGATCTTTGAAAAAAATCAAACAGAAATAAGTGCAAATGGTGGCATTTACACAATACAGGTAGTCCTTCAATTATTACCACAATCGAGCCCAAAATTTCTATTGCTAAATGAGGCAGTTGTTTAGTGAGTTTTACCCCATTTTACGACTTTTTTGCCACAGCTGCTAAGCGAATCACTGCAGTTGTTAAGTTAGTAACATGGTTGTTAAGTGAACCTGGCTTCCCCATTGACTTTGCTTGTCAGAAGGTTGCAAAAGGGGATCGCATGATCCTGGGACACTGCAACCATCATAAATATGAGTTAGTTGCCAAACATCCAAATTTTGATCACATGTCTGTGAGGATTCTGTAGTAGTTGTTAAGTGTGAAAAACTATCAAGTTGCTTTTTTTCAGTATTGTTGTAACTTCAAACGGTCACTAAACAAATGGTTGTAAGTCGAGGACCACAACTAATGCTTCTAATGGAAAAATATAAAAGGCTAAAGCTCGATCTGAATTGGGGTCAAATATGCTTGATGGCTGCCACTTAAAGCCAGCCATAACTGTACGCTAGTAATAGCTGGATTTCTTCCCCTTTCAGTAATTTCTGGATTTGGTTTGTATCTGTGGTGGTATTTGACCGGTTTGGCCCGGTTCTGCCGAGTCGGTAGCAGCGATGAGCAGTGGAGGCCAAACTGGTTCTCTCCGTCACTCTGCTGTTGGGCCCACCCACCTGCCCAGGCTTCCATACTCACCTTTATCCTCTGAATTTGAAGCCCAGCTGCTTTGCGCGGCACAGAAGATTGCTGCGCGGCAGCTGCTGAAGTGACTGGGAGAGTGAAGGCTTGCAGAAGGTGAGTTAGAACGCCTCTGTGCTTTGCATTTGGTGCACATGTGCACTCAAAGTATGTGCACATGCGCAAAGTGTGCCCACCAATCCACGCCCACCGAACTGGTGATAAAAATATTTGAATCCCACCACTGGTTTATAAAGAAAAGAGGCTACTCCAGTTAAGTACTAAGCAAAAAGATTGCTGTCAATGAACTTTTGGGGAACTATTTCTTCAAATCTTATGTACTGCTACTTCATATTTAAAGTCCATAATTAAACATACACATTTCAGATGTAAAGCCCTTAATTACATACACAAACACAAACACATTCACAAAGACCTGTAGAATATAACTAACATACTTTCCATTGCTTTTAATTCTTTCTGTTGCCCTGTTGTATTTAGTTCTGGCAAGTGAATTTCTCTTTTCTCACATCTTGAAATGTTGCGTTTCTTCCTGTTTATGTTCACCATTTGATCAATTTGAACAGCTCTTTCATACAGGGATACTTTGTCCATTTGGTTCTAAACATGGAATAATTATGCATCCAAGGAAACATCTATACCATGATTATAATATAAATTATATCAAATCAGCAACTCAACACTTCAGGGAACAATTGTATATACACCGCCACCAGATGCCTCCCACAAACCTCATTTTTAAAAAATCAAAAATAATTTTTAAAAATTTAAAAATTAATTAATCAGAAATATAAGAAATTGACCCTAATCATGCAAGATAACTATTCTTGGGAGACATCTATGAGAATTCATTAGATTTAATTTTTAAAATTATTTTTATTCATTTCTGCCTTTGATGTAACATACTAAATTTTTCCCTTTATTTAGGGAAAGCTTATATCACCAAATAAATTTATACCATTATAATAGTAAGTAGAAGTTCTTTAAAAATTATTTGGCTAAATCAATATATTTTGTGCTTTAGTAACTGACAGCATTTAACATTATGTCTCTGAAAAATCCAACTATAGTACTTGCTTGGTTTACATTTTACTAAGATTTATTTATTTTATCTGCTCAAGAATAAGAAGCAACTTCCTTTGAAAAAAAAAAATGGGAAAGCCAAGATAATGTTTGAAACGTGTTTCCAAGCATATGTCTCTAAAATAATTATTTAACTGGCACACCAAAGGCTATGAGTCAGAATTCAATAGCCAATCTTCCCATAAAATTTGCTATTTTCAGTTACCACATTCAAATAAGCCTACTCTGTAACCAAACCACCAAAAAAGCCGAAGAGATGCATAGCTCACTGACAGTTATTTATTTTCCAATTCAGATCATAGAAACAAGCTATGGTCCAGAGGCCAGGAAGGTATAAACATCCATTTAGTATTAAGTTGCTTACTCATTTTTAGAAGCCTGAAAAGGTGTAAATGTTTTACAAGGGAATATAATTGAATTGGAATACTTAACTCCAGGCTATACTAGAACGGCAGAACCTATTGAATGCTTTAATACTAGGGATGAACAGAGCTAGACTTTGTTTAGCAACCTCAACTGGAACCAGTAACTCAGATGTTAAGAAAAGCAGTCCCTCAACAATGCTCATCATTTGATTTCAGCTTTCATTTGCTTTTCTGCCAGAAAGATATGACTCCAAACAGCTAGGTGAATACAAACAATGAGGAAATTTTCCAGAATTCAACTTACAAGGAAGCTGGGTAAAAGGGAAAATCTTATGGCCCTTGTTTCCTACTCTTCCCTCCCCACTCTTGGATAATTAGCAAGAAAAGAACTAATGGTAGAATTTGCATTAATTGGATAGGAAGGGATTACAAGTGAGTAAGTTGGGGAATTCCCATCTAAAGGAACGTGCTAGCAGTTTTCACAGATGAAGCCCTTCACAGATAATCAGAGTTGGAAGAGACCTTGTAGGACATCTAGTCCAATCCCCCCCCCCCACCTAAGCAGGAGACCCTACACCATTTCTGACAAATGGCAGTCCAGTCTCTTCTTGAAAGCTTCCAGTGATGAAGCTCCCACAACTTCTGAGGTCAAGCTGTTCCATTGGTTGATTGTTCTCACTGTCAGAAAGTTTCTCCTTATTTCCAGGTTAAATCTCTCCTTGTTCAGTTTCCATCCATTATTCCTTGTCTGGCCTACAGGCGCTTCAGAAATTAGCTTGACCCCTTCCTCTCTGTGGCAGCCCCTCAAATATTGGAACGCTGCTATCATGTCTCCCCCCAGGTCCTTCTCTTCACTAGACTAGCCAAGCCCAGTTCCTGTAACTGTTCTTCATATGCCTTAGTCTCCAGTCCCCTAATCATCCTGGTTGCTCTTCTCTGCACTTTTTCTAGAGTCTCAACATCTTTTTTATAGTGTGGTGACCAAAACTGATGCAGTACTCTAGGTGTGGTCTTACTAAGGATTTATAGAATGGTATTAGTACCTCACTTGATCTTGATTTCATCCCTCTGTTAATGCAACTTAGGATTGCATTAGCTTTTTTGGCTGCTGCTGCTGCACACTGGCTCATATTTAGCTATCATATTTTTCCTATCAGGCTTATAGCTGCCAGCTTCCTAGAGGCAAAAGAATCTTCAGTGTCAAATTAATTAGGGTCTGGTCAGTCTCGGGCAGCAGTGCAAACCTATTAGAGAGTTCCAATCAATTAATTAAGGTCACAGAGCTGGGTTTGTTAACTTGAGGTTAGCACTCTTTGGAGATGCCACTGCATTGTAGAGAAAAGCACCTCAGAAAGAGATAGCTTGCTTAAATAATAATCCCTCCGCCCTGCCAGGGGGCAAAAAAAAGAAAAGAAAAAAGAAACAAGTCAGGTGTAGGACAATGCAATATTGTATTAATTGTCTGTAATGGCAAATGTGACTGAGAAACAATGAGAAGGTCATAGATGCAGGCTTTGGCTGCAAAGTTCATTTTTTTATCACCATTGTAACTGCAAATGGTCATAGTCAGAGGCAATCGCTAAATCAGGATGACCTCTACAGCAAATCAAAACTACAAAAGTCAGCAGCATGATATTGACAGATTTGCTTAAGTTATTTCCTCACTGATTTAAAAGAGCATAAGAGCGTTTTTTAATATTTTCAAATATGAGACCATCAAACAGGAATACTGATTTTAAGGTACACAGCCTGCAAACCCTAACTCTGCAAAGAAGGTAAGCTCCAAAGAGGACACATCCTGATTTTTTTTATCCTACCTTTATTACCTTATAAATCTCACAGTAGTTAACATAAGTAATACTCCTTCCTCTTCCTATTTTGCCCACGATAACAGCCCTGTGAGGTGGGTTGGGCTAAGAGAGAGTGGCCTAAACTCACTCAGCTGAGTTTTCATATCTAAAGTGGATGAACCTCCTTCCTTCTTTACCTATAGCTGGGCTATAAACCATGCTTAAACAAAAGTTTTATTTCTGTCAAATCTAGCATAGCTTAAAATTAATTGGAAATTAATTTGGTTTATAATTGCATTAGTGCATGAACTACAGTATTTTACAAAATATACATATAGTTACTTGAGTCATAATTCCATCTTCCTGACGACTGTTTGAACCTATTTGTCCTACTGATGGCCAAGGACTTCGCCGTTTTTTTGCTTTTTCTGGAAGTCTGATAAAGAAAGAATACATTTATTCTTATACAAAATCAAGCAGTTAAAAGTGTAATGTTTTCCCCAAAATGAAATTTTAAAACATGTTTCAAAAATCATTTCAAAAAAATTTATCCTGGAAAGATTATTTTTAAATAAGGAGTCAAACACATTATATTTAAATCTATGAATTAAAAAACCCTACTCCAGGGGTCCCCAACCGCCGGTCCGCGGACCGGTACCGGGCCGCGGAACAAGCCTTACCGGGCCGCTGGTTGATGGGCGCCGCCATTTTTTTTGATGAAAAAATCGCTTCCGGTGACATCACCGGAAGTGATTTTTCGTAAAAAAAAATGGCGGCGCCCAGCTGACGCCGGAACCGGGCCGCGGCGCCCAGCTGACGCCGGAACCGGGCCGCGGCGTCGAAAAGGTTGGGGATCCCTGCCCTACTCTTTAAAGCTTTGAATGAGCCCTGAGGGTTGACTGAGATGTTTTCCTTCTATTAACAGAAATGATTGGCTGCTGGGAATGGAAGTTACTCTTATTCCCAGGATCTCATTTTGTGATGTTTATGAATGTAATATTAAAATTGTATTTTGTACAGTATTAATCCAAGTTATGGGGAGGAAATAAAACATTGATTCAGGTTGGTTGCAATTGGAGAAGCCTGTAAATCCTCTAAAATAAATGAATAAAAATTAATACCCTTTCCTATCCTCCACCCAACTCTCCCCTACACATGGCCAGCATTCAGCTTTCCAATACATACCTTGAATTAGGACACAGGAAATGTGAACTGAAATTTCCAGTAAGATTCCCACAGTTTGGATGTATCCGTGGCATTGTTGTACAGGGTGTCTGTGGAGCTTCATCCTTTATCCCACCAGCATCAATGCCAACTGTTATCAAGCTGGTACCATCACCAATTGTGGGTTTGCTGCTCTCATGAGGTAAGTTGAGAGCATTCTGAGACAAAGTCACCCACTGTGAAACAGCATCTTCTTGTTCATTTCTTTTAAACTCTGAAAGTTCAGATTTCCCCGCTTTCACTTTAATACCTTTGATCTTGATCTCCTTTGACTTTTTGTCTTTTTCCATTTCCTAGAACAGGTAATACATTCAAACTTTGTGCAAATATATCTACTCATACTATAAAATGTGAAACATGTTTATGAAATTCATTAAAAAATGAAACTGTTCAAATCATTTCAGAATATTAATTCACAATTTAAAAATAGTTATTTTGGAAATAACAACATAAGGAAGACCCTGCTTTATTTTTTCATAGTTTCAATAAACCTGTGTAATTCTTATACTGTATAATCTTCTGATCCAGAATACTAATTCAACAACTATGGAACACTAACTTTGATAGATAAAATACCATCTTGCTAGTAGAATACATGAACATTCTCTGAATAATATGCTGGGATTATTAATTGTGGAATTGTCTTACTAAAATAATTGAGAATATTTTCTTTACAGGAATACTGCTTTAAACAAGTCTTTTAACACTTTAAAGCTAATGCATTTGCTACATCAAAATTCTGTTGCACAAAATCCATCTCATCAGGGGATTGTAATAAACTTGTTGGTTTTATAGGTGTTGCAAAAGTCTTTATAGCTTTTGCTGCAAAAGGCATGCCAGCTACTCCTCTGGAGCTTGCTACATCAGATAATTTGTATATGTTATATGCTGTGTCATAGATCAAACATTTTTTAAAAATAATCATAAATCATTCTTACCTTTACCATAACAGGACCATTCTGAGATATGTTAATATGAACTATTCTCTTTTCTTCTTTCATTTGTTCAATCTCTTTGTTATTGTCTCTGAATTTTGAAAGATAACTCAGCTTTGCTTCTTGTAGTAATTTGCTTTTCAATTCTGGTAAGAATCTGATATGAAAAAGGACATTACTTACATCACACTGACAATTGCAAATATAATCTTGTCCAGTTGCTTGATTCCCTACAACAATTTGGTTCTCCCTGTTTTCCCAACCACCTACTTTTCTCTAGAGACCAAGCTACTATATATGAAATAAAGTACATAATTCATAGATAAATTAATGCAATAGACAGTTCACATAACTCTTTTCAGTATTTAGTATTGTTACTGACGTATATCTACACTCTTTACTAAGCAAATATACTGTACAAAGCACACAAACGACAACACATGTTCTATATCATAGATTTGGCCTTATTGGAAAAGATTTTAAGAATCTGTTGATGTGCTCTATGTTCCACATTAAATATTTACTTCTCAGTACAAAATATTTGCTAACTTTCCCATTCTCTTTCAATCTTGACAAATTATGCACTGCTGCTATGTGTTGTATTTAAAAATCAGGATTCTTTCTTCTCCCTTTAGCAAAACAGAACAAATTCCTAGACAGATTTGCAACAAATTCACTATTCATTCAATCTTTTCATCTAATACTTAAGATTATCATGTCACCATGAATACATTCCAAACTATAAAGGTCTACAAAAAAAAAAGACTTTCACACTGGCTTGTGCTTCAAGCTTTCCTTCTATACATTACATCCATTCAAGCTAATTACTAAAATTGTATCTGAAACTATAACTATATATGCTTTGATAAGCAAGATTGGGTGACAAGATAGACAAGGCTAGTAAATTTTCTAATATAGCTACATAACCCATCTTCTGCATAAAGGAAATAAAACCTGCTTCTGTTGTTCTGAGCCTTTCTATTGAAATATATTGCTTTTCTTTCTTCCATATTTTGTTTATATTGTGAGCCATTTGTTGAAACTAAGAATATCTCATTCACTGATCCCTTTTCTTTCACAGAAGATGAATCAAGTTTCTAACAATATACATTCTTTACAAAAAAAACAACAACCACCTGTCTGGTGATGGGACATTCTCTTGTTATAGATTATGCTTTTCATCATTCCAAGATATCTGTTAGACTCCAAGAGTTTTTTTCAGCATTTGTGTTCACTTTTTTTTCATACTTTGTTCAATAGCAGATATGCAAAAACATAACTCTCAAAAACCAGTAACCTGGGTCCTGAGATCTGGGTTCAAAAGGTAAGGTTTTTCTTCCTTTTCCATAGGACTAATTCCTCCAATGGGAATTAATATCTTCCTTTTCCTCATATATTTTTAGTTTCTAAGTGCAAACCAGTCTCTATAGAAAAGGTTTCCCTATCTGAGGGTATAATTTTCAGATTTGAGCTCTGAACCCTGTCAATTCAGTACATCCCGAAAGCAAGAACATGAGAGTTAGATAAAACAAGAACAATAAGATAATTTCTCCATCTCTTTTTCTTTCTCCCAGGCTACTTCCTAGAAACTTGGCTAGTTATGAAATTTTGAGAAAAAAACTATTAAATTTCATAAAGTAATATCCTCATGTTCACATTGTTCTGGTTATGATAAGGAGAATTCCTCAATTATCCTCACTCATATTACTATCTCTGGCCCACCTTTCACATACCCAGATTTGTTTCAACTGAAAAAGGCAGAATGCCCAAGCAAAGCCACACCAGATAGAAAATTTTAAAAGTAGTAAACACCTAGAAATCTGGAAGATATTAGTTAGGGAGGGATGTTCTGACCTACAGAGTACTGGGACATTGAATAGCAGCAATCACACAGTAATTGTATTTCAAATTGCTCTGTTTTATACCTAGAACATGTCAAGAAAATAAGATTCCAAGAAATCAGATGTTGCGCATAAGAAAAATATAGCATCTCAGCAACACAAGCAGTATTATTGTGGAGATTTGACTCTCTCCAATCAATAAATTAACAGCAATTTTACATCTGTCATATAAAAAAGCCAACCACCTCAAAAAGCTCTTTGATTAAATGCTGAATGTTATATCCAAATAGCTTACTTTTCAACAAAACCATCTCTGGTGAAATATTCATGCTGTAGCAAATCAGCAGATGATATCCTGTCTGCAGGATCCATTTGTAAACAAGCCTAGTAAATAAAAATTATTATGTTAGAAATAATATACTACAGAAAAATGTTGTGTAATAAAATTTGTATTATATTTTTTCCTATTGTTTAAAAAAGTAAATGTAATTGTCCTTTAGTTTCAATAATGAATAACTCTCTTTATTGCCAGAAAAATGTTGCTCAATTTTTCTCTACAAAAATTCTTACATTAGTACACTAATATGAGTAAGTCTCAGTCCTTTTAAGACAAATTCTGTCTTGCTTGAAACAGAAAATAGTTATCGTTCTCATGATCTTTGAAAGAATTTCTAAGAGCATTTTAGGAACACAGGCCTATTTTATAGCATAAGAAATGCAAATTGCTGATAATTTATTGTCTAGAATCCTGCCATCTTACCTAAAGGAAATATACTTTTCATCTACAAAACAGTTAACATGTTTTTTAAAAAACTCAATTATTAAAAAAAGTAAAATAACAAAAGAAAGGACAGCAGACGTTAACAAGACTAGAACAATCTCAGTACCTCACAAGGCCTCTAGGGTCCCCAGGCCCAATACCAGGTTTTGAGAACTTCCAGAAAATCAACAGGGATGGAATCAGCCTCACATCGGGGCCCATAATGTGGGTGCCATGGCAGGGAAGGCTCACTTCCTGAGACCTGAAATCTTTTCAAGGATAGCCTCTTATAGAATGTATTAGATAAGTCCAGTCAGGAGATGACCAAAGCATAAGTGACAATAAGTGACAATCAGCAGAGCCCCTGATCTAGGAATAGGTGCAATATAAAGATGTACAAAGGCCCTTCTAGCCATGATTGCCATCTACTCTTTGAGCAGGAATCAAGAGTCCAGGAGGACCTCCAAGTTGTGCACAAGTCTGTTTAGGGAAATGCAATCCCGTGCAACAACAAAGATGGCATAGCCTTAGAACCAACAGGCCCCAAAACCTAATCATTCAGTCTTGTTAAGGTTTAGCTGAAGATTTTTATTCCCCATCCAGATATTCACAGCCTCGGGACACCAAGGTAAGATGTCTATGGTATTGCTTAATTCACCAGGGGCAAAGAAGTATCATCAGTGTATTGATGATACCTCACCCAATGGCAATGGATGAGCTCTCTCAGTGGTCTCATGTAGATGTTGAATAGGAGAAGAGCACAAAACTCTGTGTCACCCCTTACAGTAGCTTCCAAGGGCAAGATCCGATTGGCTGGTCCGATTGCAGTGGTGCTTATAAGATTCCCCCCAATTACTACAAATAGGATTTGACTCTGGAGAAAGGAGATGAACCAGTACAACACAGTGTCACCTGCCTCAATTCTCTGAGCTGATTTCAGAGGGTACCATGGCATGATATCAAAGGCTGTAAAGGTTGAGTAGGGCAAGGGTGGATGTTCTCATCAAAGCCTCAGCTGTATTAACGTTCTTAATTTTCAAACAATACTTTACTTTTTCTGAAGAAATGCAGTTTTTTCTCCTTAAAGCATTAGCTTATTCAAAAAGTGAATCAACTTTTCCGATAGTGCCAGTTATAAGTTCAAATATGAAAAAGAATGATAACTACCAGCTGGGCTATAGATGATAACTTAGCAATTCTGCCTTTCTCAGCTAGAGCCTTGGGTAAGACCAAAAGTGTCATCATCCATATCCAGGGTAACGCTAGCCAAGGATTGTGAATGTACTCCAAAACACAAGAAGAGTACAATGTTGGAGGAAGCCTACCTAATTTTTATTCCAGAGCATTATTTATTGCAAATCTAGAAACAGAAAGAAATGTGCAAGAAGGAATCTAAAACAAAGGGGCAAACTGGATATTATGCTGAATTTATAATTAGGAAACACATTTGCAATTTGTTTATACGCATAGCCGTGTTAATTAGGAGGACTACACCACTTGAGGTTTTTTTTCCCCAACCACATTCCCAATTATAATTGGCCATTTATGCCCTTAGTTGCTCTGAATGGTTCCCATCACCACCACAGGATAAGGGGGGAGGGGAAACTCATCTCATTTTCATTCCTAGTAGCACTTTTTCCTCCCCTCAAGGCACTAGTTCTGCCACTGTGAACCTAACATCACTGGATTTTCTAAAATGCTGAGACCAGCATAGTTCCCTTCATTCCCAGAAAAAGAAAATCTATTCATGTTATCAGGTCCTGTCTTTGAATAGGCAGAACTATCCAGTCAAGATGAAAATGAAGAAAATGCATAACTTCCACAACCTGAGGCTCAATCGGGATCTTGAATTGAACTCCTATAATTCCCAGTTAGCAAAGAAAGCTCTTCTGTGAAAAAACATTTGCAAAAACTACTCTGCCCTTTTAAAAATAAATAAGGGTATTATTCCTGAATAGTAGAGCCCTTGTTTGCACAAGTGTTAAAACATATATTCTATTAGATGTGACATAGTCTTCTGGTTACAAAGTTGCTGATTTTAACAAATTAATGTAAACATATTTAGATTTAACAGCAGTGAACATTTGCAAGAGCTGCCTCGTAATCATTTTTCCAAAAGCTGTTTGCAAACAGAGCTGACCCTCAATAGAAGCTAATGGCTAGTTCTGTTCCTCCTCCCTCCCCTCCTCTCTTTCTCTCTGTTTAAAAGTTCATCAGAAAACAATGAACTTAAGGCTATCATTTAGTAACACAGGAAAAGCTCTTAGTTTTGAATTTGGCCAAGACAAAGATGTTGCAGAAAAGTCTTCTGCAACCTAGCCAGGCAGGCTAATTGTATTCCAGCATATTGGAGGGGTGTTAGGCCAGGGGATTGCTGGCTGAAAACTAGAAACTGTTGCATTGGAAGCAGCCCAAGAGTCTTCAGATGTATGCAGAATAGCTTTGCTGTCTTTATATGGTCCTATTGGTGCAAAGAGACTTTGCTGAGGGTTTTTTGAGGTGGGGGTGGGTTTTTGCCATCAGAAAGGCAAGGCATTTCATAAAGCGAGCAATAGGGAAACATTTAATTCACTCTATCGCTCTAATTTAAAAGAAAAACAGGGTTGATTGTAAGCTTCATACTCCCTCATTGAAAGTTAAGTTAAGAACTGTAATATTATTTCTGGAATTTCTCACTGCTAAAATCATAGAGAACGTGTAAAAACATTTCTCAGAAGCAGTGTTATCAATCCAGAAATGGCTTTATACTGATCAAGGAGCAAGCATTGTTTGACATGACTGAATTGTTCAGAGTCCCTTAGAACTCTGTGGGTAGCTGACATGATGACACTGTGGCATATGAAAGTTAATATAGAGATATCCCAGAATTACAATAACTAGCACTTTCTGTATCATCAGTGAAATTTAATATGTACCAGCATTGCATAAAGTAGAAACTGAAATTGTCCTAACATTTCCATGTTTGGCTAACACATTTTTAAATTTGTGAGTACTATCATTCTGTTGCTTGCAGCTTTAGTGACCTTTCACTGAATGAATGAATGATAACCCTTCATTTCACTGAAATGAAGTCTATCAGTGCTAAAGGAGTTATGGGCCTCATTACTTTACGCGGAATCAAATACTTTAGACTTTTGTTCAACAATAAATGATAGCTGTATATTATTATTACAAATGTGCCTGCCACTGCTATTGCCATTAATGATGTAACTGACTCTTTGTTACTATGTACAATTCTTTAGATTTAAGATCTGATAAGCAGACACTGTCTAAAACAATATTTGTAAAATGTAGATTTCAGAAATATAGCAGAAAATTTTAAGAAAATCTATTTTATGGGTGAAAAAATTATAAAGAGGCTGTCAATCAGCCTTCAGGAAATATGTCATTATATAATAGATTAAATCAGGTTTCCTCATTTCAACAGGGCCTTTCACAAAGAGTTCAGGCAGTTGAACCATAGCAACTCCCCATCTAATCTGGAATGAGGATACAACAGAGTTAGTGACAAGACAACAAAAGCCAATATTGTTACGTCTGTGATCTGAGTAATGATTACCAAAACAGAGAAGAGACATGGGAAAGAAAACTAATGTAATATGTCAGATTAGTCACAGCTGTATTATTACATTGATAGCCACTTAATATATCTACCTGGGACTTGCAAGGCACAAATAGCAGGTCTTTCACCTTATTTTAAGCATAACCAATATAAAATCAAAGGATTACTGAGTTGTAATGTGGATAAGACAAAAAACAAACAGAATTGACACAAAGTTTGTTTACTTTTGTATTTCAGAGATCGAGAAGATCTACCATAATCTCCCTTTCTCTTTTTCTGGGGAGTGAAATGAAGGAAGCTTAGTGATTTGGAAGAAGAGAGGCAAGACAAAGAGTGAGGACATGGGGAAAAGCCAATTTTGGGCCAGCACAATTTGCTGATAGAGTTGGGTATGAGTTGATATGGGTTCCACTTCAAGCAATTTATTCAGGAAAAATATAGAAATAACATGCATACTGAAATTTGCTATAAACATTAGGAAAATCACCTTATAATATTTCAGGAAAACCTTTTAGCTAAAATTTTGATTAATCAGAATTAAAATATTGCCCTTAAATTTTCAAATTGAAAATAATTTGCAAATAGCCTCTACTTCTTTTAAAAAAACTTCCTTTCCTCATATAAGCAAATGAATTGTGAATTCAATTATCAGAGGTATCAGAAGCATGAAAAAGCACTATTCCCTGCCAAACTAATTACAAGGCACAAGATAACCCACTATTCACCAAATACATCAGGATTCATCCACAATAAATGATCATCCGTCATGAAATACCTATTACACAATGTATCTATAAACCTTCTCACATCACAAACAAATAAATAAAAGGCTAATAATAGTCCTCCAGAATCCTAAATTCCTGCTTAGACTATCATTATTTTTTTTAAAAAAGATGTTAGCTGTCTTTAAAATGTTAGATGCTGTTGTAGAATTTCAAGCTCCCTTTTCCTCAGTGAAAACTAAAATTACTTATTTATCTCACAACAGTGACTTTAGGCAGTGCAGAAAGTTTAAAACCAATAATTACAAATGAATTTATTCTGTAATGTTAACTAAAATAT